CAATTCTTGTCCTCAAGGGGCATATGATCTAATGAGAGAAAACAACACATAAAAGGAAGCTGGAAAAAGTAGGTGGGGAGGTATCCAGCAGAGGGCATAATGGCATCCAATCCAAAGGAGTTGGTGGGAAATGAAGAGATGTCTGGCCTAGGAGTCCTCTTTAAATAGCCTCTTGCTCCTTCTCACAATACTATCCCACCAATGCAAATCAACAACTCATCTATAACTAATTAATTATCTTAGAGTTCCCTGGGGTGCTGAGATTTGTCACACAGCTAGTATGTATCAGAGACAAGACTTGAATTCAGATCTTCCTGACTCCACTGAATAACTCCTATGTTATTCATGTATGAATAACACTCCCTAACGGTAACAATCCCTAACACTCCAATAATCTTTCTTTTAGAATTGGAATAGATTTTCTTTAGGCTAAGAATAAATTAGTAGCCAGGTTGAGTTAAATAAACAGGAAACCATTTTTAAAAATCTACCAAGTATGTAATTTAATAAAGGAAACATGGGTTAACACATAGGAGTTATTCATTGGAGTCAGGAAGATCTGAATTCAAGTCTTGTCTCTGATACATACTAGCTGTGTGACAAATCTCAGCACCCCAGGGAACTCTAAGATAATTAATTAGTTATAGATGAGTTGTTGATTTGCACTGGTGGGATAGTTTCCACGCTGTGGCTTCCCCTACACTTATGGAATAACATGTCTGAATCACCCCGCCCATCCTTTCATCCTCAAATAATTATTTAAAGAATCATTTAATATTTTTGTTTGCTGAATTCATCAATAAATGTTTATAGCTAAGCTAAAGGTAAAACATCAGTGTAGAATAATATCATATATATCCAAGAATGTATTAATGCACAGTTAAGATATCATTGAACGCTTTTGCCTAATGGATCAGGTATAAATATAACTCACTCTGGGCCCCAGTGTTCTCATCTGTAAAATGAGGAGATTGGAATAAATGATCTCTTAGGGCCCTTCCAGCACTAAATCCTATGATCTTTTGTCAGAACTGTAACAACTGTTTTGTATCAACACTCCCTGTATCTTTAGATAATCATAAATATCTACTGTATATTTCAATATTAAATTACTAGCAGTGATTTCTTTTGCTTTCCATTTCCAGCCCCTTTCTAATGTGGTCTCACCTCATCTCAACCTAACAAGGCCACTGCTTCTCTATATGTGGCTGCCAAAAAGCTGCTGTGAAATGGAGCTAAAGTAAGAGACACCTAGCTCCCAGGGATAGCGAAGTGAGAGGCTTTCTATACTCTACTTTGGTCAGATCAAAGGCCTTCAGCAGTGCTACCAAAATCAAATGTAAACAGGGTCACTAAAATATATAGAAGGCCCCTTTGGGGCCACATGGTGATTTAGACAACCACATATAACATTATCTATGTTCTACTATTGTTGTTTTTTAATATTGTTAAGTAGTTTCCATTTACATTTTAATCTGGTTCAGGATCACGCTCAGGAATGTCACATGCTGCAAAGAGGCCAGAAGGCCATATGTTTGACATCTTTGACAAAGAATGTTGTACTCAGTTCCAGGCACCATCTTCAGGAAGGGCACTGATAAGATAATGTCTTACAACTCTCAAATTGTATGATTCTGCTTTATTCTGATACCACTCACCCAACTTTGTGCTTCTGCTTATCCACCTTGTCTTCAACTCACCCCTACCAGTCCCAGCCTCTGAGAGCAGACACTCTTTGGTCTTTCTTCATGTCCTCAGTGTCTGGCACAGGGTAATTTCTTAATACACGTTTGCTGACTGATTGAATAGCCATTCTTCAAGGACCAATTCGAGTTCCTTCTTCTCTGAGAAATCAAGGGCAATTACTCTAGCCCACATTAATGACTTTCATCATGTCTTCTAACTTTTTAGGTGCCCCAAGATGGTGGTTACACAGTTCGTTCTCAGGAAGAACTAGTTAAATGATGGGCTGATATGTATGATGGAAGCAGGACCATGGAAGCAGGCAGCCATATCTGGTCCCTTTCTTTATTTCATCTGCTCAGATGCAAGTAGCACATGAAGTGATATGAATCATAAGGATCTGTATCGTTTCCAAGAAATAATGCGTCGCCCTCTCCCTCTCTTCCTTTCTCTGTCTCTTCCTCCCTATCCCTCTCTCACCCTTTCCCTCTCTCTCCTTCTCCCTCTCCCTCCTTTATGAGCTACCCTCAAGAAGGTTATAGTCTGTTAGGGAAATAATAAACCTGCAGATAACTAGCTACAGTATAGCGGCATAAGTAGCTGATCTAGACTGAGATGAGATTTAGGTTGAACCTTGCCTCTGACATTAGCTGCAACACCACTGACTAGACCCTTAACCTCTCTGGGGCTCAGTTTCCAAAAAAATGAACTGCTTAGAATGGACAACCGTTCAAGTCACTCTTTACTCTAAAACAGAAAAGAAGTTCCAACTGGGAACTTATAATCACAGATAAAGAGCTGGATGGGTCCTCAGTTGCCATGTAGTCCAGCCCCCTCATTTTACAGAGGAAGAAACTGAGGCTCAGGGAGGTCAAGTGATTTGCATAACATTACACAGGAAGTATTAGAGGTTAGATGTGAACTCAGGTTCTCTTACTCCAAAGTTGGTGTTCTATTGACTCTTATTTTATTGAGTAAAGGGAGCACAAAGGTAGAAGAATGAATACCATAAGGGGATGCTGGGTATGTAGAAGACAAAGCCTACCATATTGCCTAGGACCAGCACTAATGTGCAGAGTTTAGCAGTCTTAGCCGCTTTGTCTCACATCTTCACCATCATTGCCAAATCTTCACTTTGGAGATTCCCCTGGGGGAATGTGTATTCTACCTTTCCAGTAGCCCACACCCTCAGTTTACATAATAATAGAGGAATGTTAATGACAGACTAATGCTAAGTAAAGCAATACTTCATCTCCCATCTCCCGTCCCAAAAGCTCAAACTTTAATTGAAAAGGGATTTATTTTGAACTAACTTTTCAAATGGTCCTTCCATGTGTCTCTTGCTGAAGGTGCCATTATGCTTAAGAGCTGTTAACTCGAAATTTACAATAATGATTTTGAATTTAAAAAAAAAATATGGCTTTGTATAATCATTAGGGAAAGATATTAATTTAAGGAGTTCATCTGATCTTATTTTAAAATGTCTAAGAAATGAAGAGAAAACATTTCTAAGTCCAAAATGATAGATCATGTCTTTGGCTGGTTAAATATTTAATAATCATTTAAATTCAACAACAGTCTGCTTAAGTTAGAAATATTGAAATTAGTCATGTAAAAATGGTTTTAAAGTCAAGCACTGGAAACCCACATTCTGTGCACTTCATTTCATTTTATAGTCTCTAAGAACTATTACAATTTTTAATAAACTTGTATCTGGGATTTGAAGCCAAACACTTACATTCAAAAGGCAAGAATTTATTAACTAAAAGACACCCAAAGTGGCAATAAAATGTATTCCCCCGTGATAAGCTGCAAATGAGTTGTAAAAGTTGCAATTTATTAATTCCAATACAATTAAGGAACACAGCTGTCCCATCTGTATCCCCAGTGGCCCACTTTCCTAAGGATGACAAATACACATATACATACATGCATATATGTATTATATACACACACACACACACATACATACACACACATACACACACATACATTTTCATTGCTGATAGACAAACATCCCTTGGTCCAAATGAGACAGCAGCCTCTGTTTAGTTTTGCAGACAGTAATCTATGTCCTAAAACCTTGGAAATTTAGGCATGTAATTTTTTTTTAAGTCTTGTATATATGCTGAAATCCACAAAGTCATGAAACTTCCAGAGCATCCAGAATGAGAGTGAGATTAACAGAATGAGAGTGAGATTAACAATCACTGAAATTCTTGTTTAGGTTTTAATTATGCTTTTTTGCTAATTGCCCTATAACTGTAGATACATAAGGCAGCATGATGTAGTAGAAAGAACTCTGCATATTGGCTTTAGGAGCCAATATTTTCTAGCTGCCTGACCCTGGGCAAATTCTACCTTGAATAATACTGTTTTTGTGTCCTTGAACAGGTGATTTCAACATTTAGTGCCCCGGGCAACAATTAGAAGTTGTAGAATAGAGTCTAGCCTACATGGCAAAGGGAATTCTCTTCAACAGGTAGAATCCCAGGTTCTGTACCCTCCTCCTCCCAAAACACACACACATACACACACACACACACACACACACACACACACAAATGTAAACACAAAACCAAAAGAGTTATTTATGCAACATATTTGTATGATTTCAGTATGCCACATACCACCTTTATGACTTTGAGCAAATGACCACACCTCACTTTCAAAGGATCAGAGGATCAAAGATTTAGAGTGGATCAGGAGCCCAACACCTTCGTGTTACAGATTAAGAAACAGACCCAGAGAAGACAGTTGACTTGCCCAAGGTCTCACTGCTGGTATACAAGGGTGGATACCCATTGCTTCATGCCTGACAAACACTGCTATTCTTCATCCATTAAATAAAGGTGTTGAGCTGGGATCCAGGTGGCACAGTGAGTAGATTGCTGGACTTTGAGTCAGAAAGACCTGAGTTCAAATCCTGCCTCAAATACTTACTAGTTCTGTGACATTGGGCAAGTCACTTAAATTCTTTCTTCCTCAGATTCCCTATCTGTAAAATGGGGATAATGATAGCACCTGCCTTGCAGGGTAGTTGTGAGGACTAAATGAGATAACATATCTAAATCTCTTTGCAAACCTTAAAGTGCTATATAAATGCTAGTTATTATTATTATTAATATTATATTATAACATGCCCTTTTAGTTCCAGAGTTGATAATAGTGAAAGATAAACACTGTCAAAAAATACAACTTTATCTGACTTAAAATACGTTGAAACCTATAAATTAATATATAGTAAAAATAAAGTAATATTTTTTGCCTTATCATAAAAAATCTTTTGTTAGATTCTAGAATGATTAATGACTCACTTTGATATTTCAACAGGTGGGTGATTTCCTCAGTAGGAGGAGTATGCCCTTCCACAGATGGCGATCACAACCCCTCCAGACCTTAATAGATGGCTTCATGAGTTGCCATGGTCAAAAGAAACCATCACCTGGTGCCAGCCTTCCGTTACTGCGTCTCCTTGATCTTGGCTAGGCTGACCTGCGGATGACAGATACACAATTGATTGGTACTTCCAGACACATGCCAAAATGCAAGAGCTTGGTCTAGCTAGACGTGACTATCTAGGCTTCAGTCACATTCACTTCAAAGGAGGCATCACAAAAAGACTCTGGCTTAAGGATTTACCACTGTGCAAAATTTAGTTCCAAGTCATATTTCCAAGGAATGTTTTATTGTTATAAATGGCTGTGTCAATGTCTTTCTTTTTAAAAGATACAAATCTATTGTCATCCAGAGTGCTGTACAAAGAGGAATACAAAATAATCATAAACCAATCACATCCCTGGGAAGAGAAACTAACAAGAAATTCAATTTCAAATGTGACCTTAATAAAAGTTTAACTTGGAATGAATCCTTCAGAATCTTTTGCTTAAAGTAAAATGAAAAATGCACTGTGTCCCACACAGCAAATTATTTCGGGATATTTTTAATAAGATTACTGTCAACTTCATGACAGAATGCATTAGCCCGGCCCCACCCAGCTTGTCGTCTCACAGCAGAACGGGATGGTGTCGCCAACCTCACAGGTTCCGTGGCAAAGCCGGGAGAAGGGGGCTTGTGTTCTGCTTTTATTTTCTCGTCTCCTGGTTCTGGGTTGAATTTTAAAAAAAAGGTGAAAAAGTAATCAAGAGGTTGAATGAGCAATCCTGATAGTTATGATCACAACAGTAAACTGGGAATAAGGGTCCTCATTGTATTTCATTACACGCGCACTGGGTAATTTAGGCTTGTCACTTAACTCCCTGATCCCTGATTTCTCTGGGTGTCAAATATCAACTGGTACAGGAAATATCGAGGAATATTTTGAAGCTGGGAAAGTCATATTTGTTCCTTAAGCTAAGGCGTTAGTAAATTGCCTCTTAATGACAAATAAATGTATCAGGCTACTTCTAACCAAAGTGTATCATTTGGGTCTTTCAAGGTGACATCTCTGGAAATTCAATTCACTTACAGTATGTTTAAGGTCCTAGGTTAGCTGTGGAGGAGATGTACAGATAAGAAAGCCATGGGCCCTGCCCTCATGGAATTGCCAAGCTAGTAAGGTGGTCTGACACAGACATAACTCTGCTATCAATTAGATTGGGACAAGTGGATAGAAAAAGGACCAAGCAATATGCTCAAGGTCCAGGGACAAAGGTTGAAGTTTTGATTGGGCAGAGAAAAGTGAAGAAAGGCATCAGGCAAGGTTCAGAGATGAGGTGGCATTTGAACTGGAGGAAATTTGTTTTTCTTGACTATGTATATTTGCTATAAGAATTATGTCTTCTTTTTTGTTTATTCATTGGAGGTAGGGAGAAGTGAGAGGGAGAAGAGGCAAGCCATAGGGTTACCCCCTCCCCCCAAAAATGAATGTGATTGCAGCATTTTTTAATGCACAGAAAAGAATAGAAGGAAGGTCAGAGGAAATACAGACAAGCAGAATAGCTTTGAAAGTTACAAAATAAACTGATTATACACTTCAAAAGAAAATTGTATGTAATAGAGATCAATCATTTTGTATACAATTTTCTTTTTTAAAATTTGCTTTCTTTTTGGAAATGGTAATTTTATTTGGTATTTATCATGGCCATCAAAAAAAAAAAGCCTGAAGAACTAGAATCTTGCAGGATGGGTGAGATTTCAACAGACTGATATGGGGGTTAGGGACAATAAAGAACAATCCAAAATAATAGTTAATGGAAAGGAACAGAGATGGAAGCACATGAGTCGTATGAAGGAGATGGCCAATAATCCAGTTGATTGGAACATATTATAAGTAGAAGGCAATAATATGATATAAAACCTAACGTGGGTGGGTCCTAATGACAGTGAGCCTCAAAAGCCACATTCCATCTTATGGGGCTTCTTCAGCTGACAAAAGGAATCCATTGAATAAATCTGAGCAGAAGGGTGCCATGGGTGATACAGTGGAAGGAAGACTGGCTCTGGAGTCAGAGGACATGGGGTTAAGATTCTCCCACGAATAGTAGGATCACCATCTGTCTAGAGGCGGCTAGATGATACAGGAGATAGAGTATGACCTGGAATCCAGGAAGACCTGAGTTCAAATCCAATCTCAAACACTCACTAGCTGTGTGACTGAGCAAATCACTTAAATTTTGTCTGCCTTAGTGTCCTAATCTATAAAATAGACACAATAATAATATCTACCTCTCAGTGTTGTTGTGAAGATCACGTGAGATATTATTAATATAATATAAAATACTTGGCAGACTTTAAAGTGATAAATAAATTGGTGGTGGTGGTGTTGGTGGTGGTGGTAGTGGTAGTAGTAGCTGTATATCACTTAAAGTTCCTGGGCCCCACTTTCATTATCTGTAAAAGCAGGGGACTGAACTAGATGATCATTATGGTCCCTTTCAGCTCAGACCCAGGGACCTATAAGCCTATGATTAAATTCCATGTATAAGGAAGATTGATTTGGTATCCATATAAAGAAAAGATGGGATGAGGGAGCAGATGGAGGTGGGAAAATATGTTATAGTACTAACCAGGTGGATTACAATGAGATACATGAGCCATGACAATGAGACAGATTCATTTAATGTGAAGGCAAAACACCTTTTTTTTTGAGTCTCAGTATCCACATATGTAAGATAGAAATTATACAATCTGAAGTCCCTAATTTCCTGGGTTACTGTGAGGCTTAAGTGAGGTGATATATTCAGAGAGTTCTATAAACTATAAAGCATTATAGAAAGGTCATTTATTAATGGTTTTGTTGCATGTAACCAGAGCCCTGGGCTCAGGAACAGCAGGACGATATTTGGAAAATGAGCCTGTTGTCGAAACCACAAAAAGAGATGGAGAAAAGCATGGTGGGCCCCAGCAGGCCGCAACATATTCCTGACCAAGAACTGTAGCATAAAAAATGTCAAAAGGGAGAAATATGACTGGAAGAGAAGTTGGACAGGCCACAACAGGAGAAGCAAGCGGTAGAGATATTCATGTAATGTTGCTGCTCTTTGGTCATTTCAGTCATGTATGACTCTTCATGAGCCCATTTTATGGGCAAAGATACTGAAGAAGTTCACCATGTCCTTCTCCAGCTCATTTTACAGATAAGGAATCTGAGGCAAACAGGGTTAGGTGACTTGCCCAGGGTCACACATCTAGTAAGTGTCTGAGGCCAGACTTTGAACTCAGGAAGATGAGTCTTCTTGACTTAAGGCCTGGAGCTCTAACCGCTGCACCACCTTGCTGCTCCAACCATGTAAAATCAGGATAATCAGAAGAAAGTCCCAGGGCGTTGAGTCAACTTGGACAAATGTCACACAGGATGAGAGATGTATGGGATGGACTGAGAGCTGCACTAGTGGAACAAGTGGCCTGTTAGTGAAATCACAGATCCATTCATACATCAAAGTTATCAAAGCCTATTTAAAAAAACAAAACAAAACTCTAAAAAGCCTATTTTTTTAAAAAGCCTATTTAAAAAAAAAACCTATAAAGAAAAGACAGAATTATAAAAGGCAGAAAACTGGAATGTTTACCCAAGTATTTGTGAAGGACATGTGATATAACTGAAGATCAAAAATCCTCAAAAGAAACTTCATTTTTTTTTAAACTGAGGAGTAGGCATACTAAATGTTCCAGGAGAAAACTCTCCAAAGAGTCATTTCTTATGACAAAATTAATACTCTACAAAGAAGTCTTAGAAATTTGGGCCCAGTTGGAGGGGGCAGTTGCTAATGAGACATGAAATATAAATCTTTTTTTAAATCATCACTGCTTTGAGACTCTCTTGTGAACGTGTGGTCACAGCTCTTCACCCCTTTTACTAGTCTCTGGGAAGCACGGCGTGGGTCCACAAAGCTGAAAGAGTCGACATTTGATCTTTATTTTTTTTTCCTGGAATGTTTCCAATTAAGACCAGTTTTCTAACAAATGGAAGGCGTTTTTAAAACTTACATATTGTTCAATACTGACCAAGTCCCTGGCTTGTCATCTCCCACTCTGATTCTCTTAAAGTCTGCAGCATTCTTTTCACACTTGAGCAGATGAAAAGGGAGTCTCTAGTCCATCAAAAACCAGTATCAACCTTCCTGAATTAATTACTTACTTCAATCTCAGCTTTATAATGAGTCTCTCTGGGAATTGGAACAATTTTTTAAAAAGTACAAAAAGTAGCCAGCAGATGGGGAGGGGCTGTGGCTGGAGATCCTGTTTTTCTTTGTTTCTTTATCATAATCTAAGGAGTTGACTCATGGATTTTGATGGGGACTGAGATGGATCACTTTTAAAAATGATCTCTATTTGAATGAGGACTTGGCCCTTCAAGTCATGTCCAAGAGAAAAGTCATTCTCACTTCCTGCTTCACAAACCCAATGTTCCTGCGACCTTTTCCTATCAAACTAGGCTCTAGAGAGAAAAAGTTAAAAAAAAAAATCCAACATTTATTTTCTTTACTTGTTTTCTTAGGAATCATTAGCAAGAGCCCTAAATGTGTACAGTTGGAGATATTTCCTCTTAAACAATTCACAAATCTAGATCCCTCCTTGAGCTAAGCTTTCAATCATGTCTATATCCTCTGTCTTTACAGTATATTAACAACTTACCTAAGTCTCATTAAGTAATTAATAAGACTTGCAGACATATTGATCATTTAATTCCACCAAGCTTAAGTTGTCTAAATCAAAAAAAAAAAAAACTAATGAAAAGGGAATATTCCTTATCCCCATCCTCACCAGCTCATTAATTAATGAAGCCTTATATTTATTTGGGATGCCATCACAGTCATCTGAACTGTTTAAAAAGCTTAAAATGTGCCATTTTGTCAGGGCAGTCATTGGGAAAAACTCCACAATTATAGAGGCAGCAATAAATAGAGATGTGGCCAAATGTTTTCACATCCTAATTCTGACACCTACTAGCTAAGTGATCCTGAGCAAGACTGGTTCTAGGTTACCCTATAAGTGGCAGAGTGCCAATTTGCATTGTTAATGGAAGAGTTCCTCACTGCCTCCTTAAAAGTAAT